ACATTGAACAATAAAGCAGGGATGGGTGTAAAACGCTCAATGATCATCATGGACAGAAGGTCTGGGAGGTGGCCCTCACGGGAGCCCACGAAGAACAACCTGGAGGGACAGGAAATGTGTCAGTGACCTTTTTGCTGCTCAGCCACACAGCCACACCCCTCACTCAGACAAAGTGGGCCCAGAGCTCCAGAACAAAGCAGGGACCAGTCTCTCAGGAGCACCCCACGTTCGCTATGCGCGCCCAGTCCAACCTACCCCCCCTTTACCCAGAGATGTCTCCACCTTCCTCAACCAGAGGCACCTCACCATTATCCATAAATGCCCTCCCTACCCCACGGTTACCCAGGCACCACCATCACCCACAGACACCCCCACTTCTCTCAATCACAGTCCCCCACCAGCACCCAACGAATGCTTCGCCCTGCCATCACCCACTGGCACTCTAACCCACCCCACCAGAGGTACCCTCACTCTGCCATCCCATAAGTTTCATACTTAACACAATGACTTTTATTATTACTATGTTTTTATTCATTTTTTAGAGCGAGAGGAAAGGAGAGGGAGAGGGAGAGAGAGAAATAGCCTTTTGAAAACTGGAAAAACTGATTATTCAATACATTATACTGGCATAGCTGGCTATTTGAGAGAAAAAAATTAAGTGAATCCCCACCTCCCCCTACACATCAAAATATAGATTCCAGAGGAATCCAAAATTTAAACAATTAATTAAAACATTTAAGACCTAATAACAAGAAAAATTAACTTTTTCAAATCTTGGAGTAAGGCCTTTTTATCTCTATTAGCTTTTATTTATATAATATCTTAGTCCAAATTAGAGAGTGGTCTTTCTTCAGAACGTTCCACCTGTCAGAACACACTTCACTGCCATCTACCGTATATGAATGTATGATGTCTATGACATGAATAGAGGCCCTTAGGGTAGTTGGTGTTTAACTGATCTGGCTTTTCTAAATATGATTTTTTTTAATTGATCCTTTTTCTTTAGAGAGAGAGAGGAAGGGGGAGAGAGAGAGAAAGACACCAGAGTGAAACATTGATTGGCTGCCTCCTGCACGTGCCCCAACTGGGGATCGAACCCACAACCCAGGCATGTGCCCTGACCGGGAATCAAAATGGCGACCTTTCGGTACATGGGACAACACCCAACCAACTTAGCCATACTGGCCAGGGCTCTAAATATGACTTTTTTAATATATTTTTTTATTGATTTCAGATAGGGAGGAAGAGATAGAAACATCAAGGATGAGAGAGAATCATCGATCAGCTGCCTCCTGCACAC